CAAAATTGGTATACAAAGTGCTGAAAACAATCAAAGATTTGAAACTCAGTAATAAAAGGTTTACTGATTTTTTTAGCATTGATTTTATATTGTGGGGCCTGTGTATTTACTTTAGTAAAGCTAAACTGTTATTTTTGAATTTTACATAATCTCAAAAATCCTACTGTTCAACACTGAAGAAATGCAACTACTGTAAGCTTATACAATTTAGAATAATTTAACATTAAATCATATTGTACAGGGGTGTGCTCACTTCGGTTCAATATATCAGTCAACTTTAAACATATATTTTAGAACTCTGGGTAGAGCCATATGTTTGCCATCTTCACTCTAAGTTGTACAGTCGTACCTGGTAGACAGTAACTTTAGCGTCCAGGTCACCAGCGATGCGAGACAGGCTGAAGCGAGCCATGTCCACTGGGTCTTCAGGCAGTTGCTTTGGAACAGGGAAGGGGTTTATGTTCTTGAACTTGGGGAACCAGTACATGATGCGCTGGAACTTCCTTATCGGGTGGCTCTTCTCTCCAAAGATCTGAATCAGCAGGACTTTTGTCTCTATGTTGGGCATAATACCTAAAGCACAAGCATCAAGCTTTAACAGACCATATCAGATCCATATTAATTCTGTTTCTGTCTGGAATATAACTTTCTAAATTATATGACATTTCAAGAATTCTATGACCTAATCCATACCCACCATAGTTCTCCATTTGTTCCAGCACTTGCACTCCACACTCCTGCTGTCGGGGATAGTGGTTGAACATTCGCTGGATGTAGTTTTTGGGCACAAACACCTCTTTCGGAAAAACATCCAACAACTTGTTGTAGACGGCAATATCTCCCTCCACGCCGAACTCTGGCATCTTCTTCAGAGCAGCATAGATAAACTCCACGTGACCCCGTCGTCTTATGTCTTTCTTGTTGAAGACATCTATCACTTTGTTAAAAGTGGCCTTGGTTTTGATCTCTTTGGCAACCCGTTCAAACAGGTCATCATAGGTGGCCAAAGACTTGTCCTCCTTCTTTTTGTCCTCATTAACAAACGTTGCAGGCACAGACCGATTCTTGCCACATGATGTGCTGCTGTGGAAATGCCTCAACACCTACAAGTGACAACATTTTTGTTATACGTACATGAAACAGGAACATTGAATTTAACATACATTGTGTTTTCCTGATTTGATTATTATGCCCAGTAGAACCACTGACTACTGACAAAACATTAATAGTTAGACACAAGAACAAGAATATTTTTAAGGCAGGTAAAGGAAACAGATGTATAAAATGTGTTTTCATATCATCATGTAGGAAAATATCATAAACTTTAGGTTGTATTACAGGCAATCCTCAAACAGATGGGAAATAGTGCACTTTAGGGGATTATGTTCAGTGGCAGATTAATTGTAGTTATTAGTGAGTATACTGGAGCAGTGTGACCATGGCTAAATTTCCAACCAGGAACAGAAGCTAACTGGTTCGCGCCATATTGTAAGTTGGAAGTGTGTACCGCCCAAGTGCAGTATTAACCACATCAGGTCCACCATCTTGTAGGCTTGTCTTTAGATAAATGGTCTGCACTTATTTAGTGCCATTCTACCTTCATGGTACTTAAAGCAATTTACAATGTGCTTCTCATTCACCCACTCACCCATTCATACACACATTTCAATGGCAAGGTGCCTGCCTGCCATCTGAAGCAACTTGAGGTTCAGTGTCTTGCCCAAGGACACTTCAGCATGCAGTGAACCACCAACCTTGCAACCAGTGGACAACCCTCTCTATCACCTGAGCCACAGCCACCCCACACTGTGTCAGTGTGGTCAGACATTAGCCATCTTAGTTTATATTTTGGGCTCCTCTCCTGTGTTTTATCTCCCTTTTATTTATTTTTTTTGCTGTGTCAAGGAATTACCTTACAGAGAACATAAAATCACTATTACATTAGGTTGCAACCAGCAATTACCTTCATTATCAACAACACTGATATTTATTGATTGCATTAAAAAATGGCTTGCGCTTTGTTTGTCCCCTAAAACTCATCAAAGAATACTCAAAGCTGCAATGTTTACCTAGAATGTCAATGAATTAGGGAACATGTCATGTAGTGTATGGTGTGGCTCACTAATGTGTTTTTAACAGTTTACGGACAACAACTTTATTCGTCAATGGGGCACTTCCTGCGTTGGTTTGGAGTTTTTTGACATTGAGAAAATGGCTTGGAATAAATTGCAGTTACTGATTCCTTCACTAATATGGTTAAAAATACATTAAATGAGACATATTTTGAGCACTGTCTGGGCGCTACTTGTGCTGACTGAAGTGTACCTTGTTTTGTAGCACACTGGGCTGACTGGTGGAGGCTGACTGGAGCAGAGCGCCGAACTGGACACAAGACCTGCCTGACTGTCCAAGCAGCCTGAGACGCTGCAGCTGCAGGAGGCAACGGGTGCTCTTCATTGTAGACCTGTCACACTGACTGTTAGGAAACACATCTGCAGAGGGAAAATGAACATGACATGGTCAGTAATTTGAAATGTTTAATTCGTAAACCCGACAATTGTCGTGTTCTTCAGTCAACTCCAATCGTGTACAAATATTTTCCACGAAGAAAAAATAAATAATAAACGGATATACATTTGTCTCAAGTTTCACCTATGGATTAAGGACGGAGTGTACGTGGACGAAATACTCGGGAAACTAGTATCATTTTTAAAAAACAGATATTCTGTAATACTTAACTTATGTACACATGAGTACTAACGCATTTAACTATGTAATACCTACCATCAATGCTGAAAAAAACGTACGAAGAAATTCGTCTCCTTCAGGCGTCTCTCTATGGACGTCTCCATGTTGTAAGCCGGCTGTATATCCTGGTTCTACCAACATATCCTTCCCCCACATAACTGAAACATTTACACTGGTATTATTGTTCCACAAACCCTTTCTTTGTACAGCAACTATTTGTTTGGAGTTCAAATGTTTGGCAATTTCCGATAAATTAACCAAGTAATAAAGGTATTTCAGCGACCGATTTTGTAACAAATACTAAAGTGGCATTACCTTACCTCATTTTGTGGAGAAGGTATGCGGAGGGAATTCCTTCTAAACGTTTTTTTTTCTAAACGACTGCTTGCATTTATCTAAGTAAGATAAGTAAAAGCTAAATAAAGTAATAAATACGCACTGTTTCTATACGGACGTGAAAGTCAGCGTTTCATTTAGGCGCGTGAGCTACACAACCTCGCCGCGTGGTGGTGACAAATGTCTTCCGAACGTCTCCCAGCTTTCATTTGACAGTCGCTGAGGTAGAGCCTGAAAAAGTTGTGTAATAAGATTCATAGTGAATTTTACGCTTAAACTGCATATAGTTACTCGTTCGAGTCACCGTGACACATAAGTGGTGTATAGAGTTAATGGATACAACTCTGACGTAGCTACAGCAGCTCTACAGTGTTTTCCTGCTAATAGTCAAATTGGCCATAACAAGGCACCAAACGTCCGGAAGACACATTCATATTTTACCTGTTAAAGTGTTTGTATTCAATTTATTCGTATACCTTTAAATATAGTAATTTCGCTCCATAATGTTATTTCTACATGATTTAGCATTTGTGTATTTAATAAACGACGGGGTTTTATTTACAGGGGGGAAAAAAATCGACGTTTCCGGTATTCTCTCCTAAACCTGGCAATTGACAGAGGTCCGAAGTGTGTGACTTCTGACACTCGTCTCAGCATGGAGAACACACCTTAGTGCAGACTTTACTTGCAGAGAAACTACACGCAGTTTAAACTACGGACTATGGATTCCTCTACAAACAGTTTGGGTGAGTAAAGGAAGGAGATATTTTGCTTTGTGTGTTTTGCTCAGTGAGTTTTTCTGACAACATTTGCATTATGGAAACTTTACTCACTTGTGCATTCGGATATGCTGCTCGCATCGTTATGGAGGGATTACTTTCCCAAACTCAAAAAATGCCATCAATTGTTAGTTTTACATTTCCACAGACGTCAGGTAAAATGATTTACGGCATACTTTACAACTTTCAGGTTTGTACGACTGACTTCTGACATTAAGCAGCTTTTACGGGTTTTTTTTTTCTAAATAAATGCACTTTTACAGTGCTTGCTGCCGCATTCTTTGGTATGTTGTGATGAAGGAGGATAGTGAGAATAACAGGCGGGCTCCTATACAATGCTGATATTGAAAGGAAGTTCAGTGGACTCGTGCCCACATCGAATTAAATAGTGTCTCTTAAAGAGTTGGCATCTAGCGGTTTGTTCAGCCACATATTGAACATTAAGAGAGATTTATGCATTAAGTATTGCTTGTTTAAAAAGTGACGACGGACACTTTTATCGTTGCAAATTGTTCTAGAACATGATAGCAACACTTGTGTGGCTAGGTTTGTACAACATATCCTTAAGTGTTGGTAAACAGATGCTTTGCGTTATATTTTCTGCTGCTGGCGAGTTTTAGCGCGCGAGGCTTGGTCTTACATTCGAACAGCTGCCTTTATTTTGGCACGCGGGGTCAAGTCAAATTTGAGGCGTGACTGCAGCTTTTTTGCTGTGTTGCTTCATCAGCCTGTTGTGTCTGCTGTGCTTTCTTTGGCCGGTCAGCAGGATTTCTTAACTTTAGGACACAAACTAGCCCCTTTGTAACTGAAGCTTTGTGCTGCTCTTAGATTGAATGCTGTCATAACTGTATCCTCTCAGCAGCCACACTGACAGACCACCAGCAGAGCTGTCACGAGATCAGAGAAAACACTGCAGTCTGGAAAAAACAGAAATACGATTTTGGAACAGTGATGTACACAATGTTTAAACTTTAAACAGCATGTCCATTTTATGAACCAGCACTTAGCCTCTAAATTAAATAGAAAGTTCAGTTGCACATTGTGCTCTCCTAGTCAGGGTGACTTTTTGCAAACAAGCAACAATCTCGAGTGTTTGAAAAGCTCCACCCGTTCTGCCCCCACAATACTGACTGTTAAACAGGAGCTGTAACACTGTTGCACAATGCTGCTTTTGTTGCACATCTGTAGGCCCTGCTGTCCCACCTTATGTGCTGATGTTGTGTTTACTTGACTTGTAAACCGGTGGGTAGGCAAGGCACAGGGGAACAGTAAATATCACATGGAGATGTTCGCCAGCATCTGTGGGCAAGACTGCTGTGGCTCAGTGCTGGAGGGAGCCTTAAATGTAAAATACAGTCAAGAGGCTGCTGTGCGTCTCAATGAAGGTCTCTGTCAGTGATGGTAATTATCTTGTCTTCGTGTTTCATTATGAAGGTGATTACTTATCTTTAAAAGTTGTCATGTGAGTGTGTTGATACTTTGCAGCTGTGTTATACATCTGGTCCTGTCTATGTCTCATTGTCAGCTGACTGGCGTACACCACATCATGAGTTTAGATGATGCGGACAACTCACTGTTATGGTTGGTGATAACAAGAAGATACTAGTATCATTTTCCATCCATATTAGTCAAAATATGAAATACACTTTTCTTGTTAGTCTTGTAGGAAATTGCAGACAAAAAAGTCCACATGAAGCCAGAATGATTAGGTAATTAATGCATCAACTGATGGACAGAAAAGTAATCAGAAACTATAATCAAGCAAAATTGTGATAAAAAGTGCCAAATATCTGCAGATTTCTGTGTCATTAAAGAGAACATTTGCTGTTTTCCTTTGTTATGCAGTATTGTAAACTGAATATTTGGGATTTGTGGACTTTTGGTGAAACAAAACAAGACATTTGAAGACTCCTCCTTTATCTTAGTGACATTTCATACATCAGACGGTTTAAAAGTCAACTGAAAACATAATCAGCAGAAAAAATGTCTAATATTATTATTAAATGTGCATATCATCAGGCAATGACATTCTTAAAATAAAAATGAATTAAGGGTTTTAAGTTTTTGTTGACTTTATGCCACAATACTAAGAATATTTTCAATTATTTGTATATACAGTAAATACAAAACTGCATATAAAAACTGAAAGTGTGGAGTACTGCATTGAACATGCCACATATTATCTCAGACAGTTTCTTCACATATGTAAAATAATACATTCCCTCTGCTTGGTTTATGTAAAACAATAACTGATCATGTGTTACAATCCATTTAGTGGAAAGTTCATATATAATAATACCGAGCCACCAAACATCAGCTAAATATCACTTGTAAAAATCATATTGGGTTGACATGTTTATGCTCTGTTAAGCTAATATTGTAATATTGTGAACTATTGTCTGTACTCGTGGTGGGTAGTTTTTATTAACCAGTTTCGAAGGCAGAGTTACTGTGACTGCATCATCATCAATATATATATCGAAATATATTAATTACAATTAGATTTCACTGAGAGAAAGTATGGAGGTTTTCTGAAAATGTAATACTTTATCTGTGGTTTATCAGAATGTTTTGCAGTTGTGGGCATTTTCTCTAGTTCCTTCTTACGTTGTATTTTGAGACAATATTGTCCAACAACTGCACATTTCAAAATCTATGTTTTAGTGTATTATAACTTAAGTCTTACTATAAGTGCTTTGGTCACTATTTCTGTAAGTTGTAATTCTGAAGTTTTATTCTTTTGGAACATAGTAACATCAATAAAATACATTAGGTGGGGCAAGAAACTTCACCTTCATTCTAATAAGCAGTTGATTGACCATGATAGGACTAAAAACATGCATATCATATGTATGGGTGGTAAGATTATGTAGCTCAATATACACAACACACCATAACCATGTACTTTATATACTTAATGAAGAATGTATATACTGTACAAATAGTGCATGCTTTCAGTTTATACACATAAAGTTATCTCTCTAAATAGAGTAACAGATTTGTTCTAGCAGCTTTGCCCTGCCATAACAGCATTTATTAACAATCAGACCTTTGTCTTGAAGGAAAATTCTCTCTTCACTGTCTGTATGAGAATTTGAGGTAAATTCCATCTATATTTCAACATACCTGGCCAATACATCTGATAATGATACAGTGTTATCATAACTGACAGACATGCTAGTGACCAAGTTGTACTGAAGTTGGAGTCCCCTTCAATTTCTTCTAGATTGTGATTTGTGTTGATTTGAAACAGTGCATTTGCACAGAGATCACCAGGAAGTTGCATCAGCAAATAGTTTCTATTTTTTTCCCAGAATGTTGTAATACTGCTTCTTTTCAGAAAAACAGGCATGCTGTTTTCCTGGAGTCGGTGGTGGACAATTACTTTCTCCCTCAGTGCTTCTTTTTTTGGTACTGACTGAAGTGTGTCTACAGCTGTAACTATCAGAACTGCCTCATACTAAATTAAAAAATGAAAGTTAAATTAGTAATTTTGTTTAAATGGATCATTGCTGATCTAAAGGAAAATGTGTTGCTTTTAGAGTGTTTTACTTGTGGAAATGTTCCTCTGTGACTGTTGGACTTAACATTTGAGAATACCACTTTGAAGTGAGGTAAATATGAAAAAACTCACATGATGCCAGCATTAGTTCCCTCAAATTCTCCACTGCCAGTACACAAATTAGAGGGAAGAAAAACCGCTCATTGTGAACTTCAGGTTAGTCCCTGAAGGTAAATGAGCTCTGGTTATTCAATCAGCTCTCTTCACTCAGTGAGATCATCAAGCTGCAGAGATTTATGTTCCATCAGCAGTCAACAGAGTAGCTCGCTGTTTTGTTATCTGTATTCAGAGCAAGCCTGGTCTTGCATAATGTTTGTGTCTGCTTTAGCCAGATATGACAGTCAAATCTGTGACAGCATGGTGACCCACTGCCAGTTCTGTGCGCTTGCATATGTACTTGCTTTCTGACAGTTATTTATAGGTGCTTTTATCCTCTAAGTCACTGGTGCATTTAGCAGCAATAACCACGCAGGCTCACAGTGAATCTCTGTCTGCTCGAGAATCTAAATTAAGAAACTTGTGTGCTGCTAGTTAGGAAAATGTTTAGTGCAGCTGAAAAAGCCAAGGAAAGAGAATCAATAGTTTGGGGCTTAAGCAAGCGCAGTGTTAGCCAAAATTAACCTTTAAAGCTATATTTTGACACAGGGCTGGTATGAAGCTGTTGGATCAGTGTTTGCACATTTATTAACAGTATTTGCTGAAAAACTTCAGTCTTTAAGCTGAAGCCAGGTAACCCTGATAACATCAACAGCACTATTTCTCCAACTCGACAAAAACACTTTCAGACTCATAGAAGACAATATACAGCTACCTACACATGCCGAGTAGTACTCCCCGCTATCAGTCAGCTAATGTGGAATATTGGTGGGATACTCTTTTAATGGATGGGTATATTAGCAGTGTTGAAAGTGTCCTCACAGTGTTGTGCGACTGCATTTCATTCAAGCTGAGATGTGATGAATCACTGAGGTCTTGCTCTTCAATAATGACAGAATACCACCAGCAAATGACATCTCATGTTAAATCCTGCTGCTATCAAATGCTATTGGAGCTGCACTAGAATTGGATGGTAGATGATAAGAAATAATTCTGCAGGACCCATATGGTGATTGCATTCAGAGCAGAAACAATTCACTGATGAACCCAGTAGTTAAATGTCAGAATATTCACTGATCAAGTAATGTGTGCAAATAATGGTATCCTGGTTGGTTTCTGGAAAACAGAGGTTATGTTTATCACATGTACATCATGTCCTGAGTCTCAGACACTTTGAAAAGCTATTGAGAAAAATCCAGGTGTCTGAGCATTCTTTGGTACAGAACATAGTGGCAGAGATGGTGCGAAATCAAGACACATAAAGATTATCAGAAACCTTCCGTTATCGTGCATACAGGGAAATGAATAC